CTTGGTATTCCTAAGTCGAACCAGTTTTTTTTTTGAGGTTCCTCTCATTCCCTTCGTTTCTAGATTCCAACTTCCGCTCACACACACACACACACACACACACACACACACACACACAGAATGAGCCTTGTGCAGGCACTTAGAAAGCACTTTCTCTTCAATCTCCCCTCGAAGTCCATTCAAGTCTGAGAAATTTGATCTGTCTGTTGGCTCGGTTTTATTGAAGGTTCAAGGGCCGAAGGTACTGTTTACCCAGGCCCAGTTGGTCAATAGGAAGAAGGGTCTTCCTTTTGTTGGTGGTCAGAACCAGCGGCCTTTGTAGCTCATAATTGCCATGCCAAGAGAGCTTCTTAAAAAATAAATATAATATGGGGTACATTGAAAACCCATTTCTATACTTTTTGTAGAAATAGATTATTTAATATTTTATATTTCCTGTTCCTAATTAAAATATAAATACTTGCTGATTGTAATCGAATAAATGTATATTTAACCCATAATCCAGAGTATCTTTAGATTATAAATAAATAAATATAATCCAATTACCATTCCGCTTAGCTGTTCCACTTTTCCCAGAGTCTTAACTCTATTTGTTTTGATTTTTATTGCGTCAGACACGAGTGCTTTGTGGCTCTGGCGTCTCTTTTTCCGGGTTCACCCTTTCTTCCGATTAGTTTCTGTTTGATTTGTATTCAATTGTTAGTTTAATGGATCATTCAAAAGTTTTGGCTTCATTACATTGTCGATGTTGTGGCGGTGTTTTCTTGGTTGTTTGTATTCTTTTCTTCTTTCTTTTTTCTTTCGCCCCGTCGAGCAACTCTCGTCGTCAACTATATCGCCATCATAACCATTATCATTATCATCGTCATTATGGCTAAAGTCGCTGGCAAAATTTTGATGACTCGGCGCGATTGGAAGCGGTTATGGTCAGCTTTAAATGCTCTCCCCGAACGTAGCCGGCACCTAAGGCCACACAGTAGAGCATTTTCTAATTTTGGGTTGCAAAAATTTACATTTTTCCCTATAAATATTAATTTTTAAAAATAAAAAGGATTATATTTGATTAATATATCGATTAGAATATATAATACAACATTAAATTATCGATAAGTATCGATATTTGGTTTTACATATCGAAAAATTATCGATGTTTTAATATTTTCTATAATTTCTAGAAAGCTGTAATCCCAAATTTTTCTAGTCTCAGCCACATTGAATATTTATATTTTTTCCTGACATCTTTTATCTAATTTTCTCCCTGTGCAGTTCCCCCCCCCCTGATACCCACTTCCCTCCCCATTGTTGTGATGGCCCATTGGAAGCATTTTGTTTTGTTTGGTTTTGTGCTTTTGTTCCGATTCGCCTCGTCTCGGTTTCGGTTTCGGTTTCGGTCTCAGCTCGGTTTCAGTCTCACCTTGGTATCGGTTTTCTTGCCGATTTCTGCTTATGTGAATTTAATTTACCGAAAATGAGAAATTTGGCAAGGAAGCACTCGGAGCATCCCTCACGCCATCGTCATTATAACGAGCAGCCCCCGAAATGGACGTTAATTATGCTTGTATACGTCTCAATAATCTACCAGTAAATGAAAAATGATTTTTTGCCAAAAAAAACCCCCCCTTACCACTCTCTTGACAATTGCCGCGGCGTCGAAAGCATAATTAGTTTTCAAATATTTATTTATTTATTTTCGGTGCCTGCGAGGGGGATTGCGCAACGATACTTACAATATTTGTCTGTCAAGGATGGAGAAAGCATGGCTAAATCTGCCACAGACTTGGGTGTACACTTGAAAAAATTAACACCTAACTAAGCTAAGAATTAATTAAAGAGTGTTCCGTGTGGAAACTCGAGGGAAAATCCCCTTACGCTCGCACCTTTAAACGGAGGGAAACCCTGTCCAAATATTGCCCTTATTGTTTAGCTCATACCAAACCATTCCGCTTGACATTTTCCACAAATTGTTGGCATTTTTTTTCCGACTCCACCTGGCCTTCAGCCCGTTTCAAGCTTTGCAACACCCACCCACATAGTTCCGTTCCCCGAATCCTTTTGCCTTTTCCTCGCAGGACAGCCTCCCCCTTCGCCGGGTCGCATTCTCCGGCAGAGCCGCATTCCGATGCTAATTCTAATTAAGCGCATTTGATGAAGTAAACGTGTCCCGACTTTTTATTCATAAAGAAGGCAACAAAAATCCAAAAAAGGAACTGAAACTAAAGAACCCGCCGGGAGGGGGTGATGGGAAATAGCAGAGGGTTGAGAGTCACAACGCGCGGCAGATAAAATTTCAACGGGCGCTCATTCAAAACTTTTGGAACGGCAATAAAAAAATACAACAAGGAAAATACAACAACAAAAAACCGAGAAGAAAAAAAACAAACAGAGTATAAATAAAATGAAATGTGTAAGAGAGGCGAAAAGCTGGGAAAATTCATTGTCATTGTCAAAATAAATTTTTCTTTCGAAATCCATTAAAGCTTTCATTTGGAGCGAAATTGTTAGAAAAGTGCAAACGGCAAGCAGAATCCAGTCGCAAAAAAAAATAAAATAAAGTCGAACAGAAACACAGATAATGGTGGCGTTGGCGGCGGCCGGCGAAGTGGCCGAAAAAATTGAAATTATTACAAAACTTTTGTGATTATCTCGGGCTACGTCCATCGCCTCGAACCGCTCCCAATTAGCCAGGACGCCAAGTCGGCGATTCTCTGGTACACTACAAGAAAAAAGTCAAAGTACTATTCGAGAAAAGTGCCTTGAATTTAAAGGTAAAGAATGAATGTTAAGTAAAGCCGATGGTAGCTTGCAGCTTAAAATTGGATTATCAAATTCGAGAAGCCTTTCTGGGTTTGTTGTTGGCTGAAAACATACAAAAATATATAATTTTTTTAATTTTCTAGGTTTTTAAATTTTAAAAAACTCAGCATAAAGTTTTTATGTATTTTTTCAATATTTTATTTTTAGTTTATTAACATTTTAATGGCAAAGCTCAATATACATTGGAAATTATTCACATTTTTGGCATCCATCGAGAAGACCTAGTCGTTTTGCATCGATATTTATCGATTTATTTATCGATTTCTTTTTTGTGGGAAAATCAAAGCTTAAAAAATGATAACTTAACCCAAAGTTGCATTAATTTCAATTTTAAAAGCTGTTTTTTGTTAGTTTTCAATAGGTTAATAAATCAGCTTAATACGTTTAAAAATTAAATTAATATATTTTAAATGTAAATTTTGTATTTAATTTAAAATTCTAGTTTATATACATATTTACAAGTGTATTTACAAGGGAATCAATGAGTGAAATGGCTTTAAAATATAATTACTGGCAACAGCTAAAAGTCAAGCAGTTTTTCAATATTTTTATGAAGTATTCTTTCACCACTTTTAGCTTTCAGTGTATAACCGAAAAAAGTTACATTTGTTTCGCCCAATAACTGTCAATGCGGCAAGCGTTTGGGCGTGGCCATTCGCTCGATTTCCCGGACAATTGTTGCGCCCACAAAGGGGCAGGCCAGAGGAAAATGGAAAACCGAAACAAGTCGAAGTAGGGATATGCTGCACAAACCCATCGAAGGTGGGAAAAAGTCACTTAAAACCGTCTAAGAGCTGTTAAAATTACTACGAATTCCCCCAAGAACTACAACCTTTCGCTCACAGTTATCACTATTAATTTGTTAATTAAATAGTTAATTAAATATATAACTATCAAAATATGTAGTTCCGGGAGTATTTAATACATGTATCAAATTATCGAAGACCGACCCGACCGACTCATATGCTCTCCCTGTGGCGTAATACTCTTCCATCGAATTTAGGGAAAGACGTCGGAGAAAGCGGCCAACGCCGTGGCCTTGCCGCCTGTCAGGCGGCACAGTCGAGCCACTTAATTTAGAGATTTATGCTAATCAAGCACAAAGTATTCGCCGAGGCCCCACCGAGCTCAAATGGAATGGAATAAGATGTGGTGGGGAGCGGGCTGCGTCATACTAAATAAAAGTGAAAATTCTTATATAATATGCTAATATTTCTTGCCGCGCCTCTAATTTGGAATTTTTGGCCGGCTGCTTGGATTACGAGAGATTTTTGTTTTATTTTGTTGTTTATAATATTCAGATTTATGGAAGAAAGAAGCCGAGGAAAGCGCAAGAAGTTTTTGAGTCGCGCTGTCATTATTTTCTTGTCATCCAATAATCGACAACAATAACATTGAGATTTCGCTGAATTTATGAGTTTGTTTCTTTTTGTTTTAAGAACTCGCAGAATGCACGGTGTTTCTTTCTTTATTTCCGCCTTATTTATGCCCAATTGGCCATGTTTATGCGCAAATTAATTAATTTAAATTTAAATGTGCGTGTAAATAGAAAGTTTGCATTTTTCTCTCATTTATATATGGGAGATTTTGTTCGTAAATAATTTATTAAGCCACATAATTTTGGATTAGATAATGAAGAATACAAAAAAGTTGGGAATGCATATGCGAATTATAGCTGCGTATTAAAAATCAATTAATCTGTAAAGAAAACATCCATTATGCTAATAGCATCGAGTGGAGCGAAACATGACAATAATCAATTGATAAATGGGGGCCCAGCGCCGTGTAGATGGAACGAAAACAAAGGCCATGAATTAATTGAACACATTTTTAATGCCAGGTAATCTGGCATACAAGTTGGTTCCCCGGGAACGGAGAATGCATTTAAGTTGTGGCTTAGATATAATTAAATCATGTCAGCCGCAAACAAGGGTTATTGTTTTAATAACTAAAACTGTGTTGGGGAAAACAAGCGAAAAAAACGTAAAAAAAAAGGTAGATTTTGGGCTTTAAATTAACTTTCATTAATTAATTGAGTTGCATTAAGTGCGGAGTATTATTTAACGCTCTTAAATTTGCTATTTAATTTGAAATTTAATAAAAGATCATTGTATAATGATGCAAGTCATCCGATTAAGGCCCCTCTTTTAATAAAAGAATTGCGTTTTGTTGGTCAAATAATTTACTTAATCTTACAGGGGTTCAATTTAAATTGAATAATAATTTAAAGACTATAAAGCTCCTTTTCAATAAGGACTATTGCAGCAACAGTTCTTGATGAGGGCGTGCTCGTAACAGGATTTGGCGTACAACAAGGAGCAGTCGTAGTACAGGCACTGCGGGGGTCGCAGCTGCGCAGGAGCGGAGGCTGTGTCCCCATGTAAATGGTAATGGAAATGAAAATAAAAATAAAAATGTAAATGGAATCGCATTACGACCGAATGCGAAATTGAATTAAATTAATAAATGCACGGAGATTAAAATGAGCGCATAAATAACGTCGCCAAAAGGCTTTGGCTGATTAATTACCTGGAAAATCGCAGCAACAGGCATCGTGGACCATCTTGTGGGAGCAGTAGCTGTAAACGGAGGAGTCGCACAGGGGGCATCCAGCCTGACCTGACTGCGGTGGAGGTACATAACCGAAACCAGCTCCAGGACCAGAACCCTGGCCAGGACCAAAGCCTTGCCCAAAGCCAGCTCCACTTCCTAATCCATTGCCAAAGCTTGGGTTGCCAAATTGACGGGCTAAAAGGATATCAAAGGTATTACCTTCTAAAGCATTTTATATCTATAAAACCCACAGAATATACCCACAATTTTTTTGCGTGGACTTAAATTAATAAATTCAGCACGAACCACGAACTATACGGTTCAGTTTTAATAAATATTTAAAATCGAATCAAACCAAATGCCGCAACGAAAAATAGTTCAGTGTGGTTTGTTTTTAAATTAATAATGCTTAATTGCTTAATGTTGCAAATAAATTCGTTTAAATTTTGGTCATATAAACCTTGTGTTTGTTTCCTCATTTGCAGTAATAAGTTAACAAACATAAAGTAAATCAAAATAATTATATATAAATTTATATGTAATATATTTAGAGCTTTGGAAGAAGGGTTAGATATTACCCAAAATTTGTATATATTTGTTTTATTTTAAGCTGATTTTAGTTAACAACAATTTAGGGTAAGAATATATATTAAAAGCTTCCACTTCTTACCAAAATTAAACCAAAAGCAAGACATCTAATGTTTCTTATGATTTTTTTTAACATTTTCTGTTAAGTCAAGTAAATCAGTTTTGGGTTTTTTGTAATCTTAGGCATACTAGAAGATTCTATCTTTATATTTTTTAATTAAATACCTTAATTACCATATTCTTAATCATCTACTTACACGTAGTCTCCTGTTTTGCCGCCACCCAAGCAATGGTCAGGACCATTAGAAGGAGTACCTGGACCACACTGCGTATGTGCAACATTTGGATATCCTATTTCCTGCGTAGATAATTGCCAGAACGATTAAAAAACTGCTTATATGTGGTAGAAAAGCCGATGTTTCTGCTGGAACTGCTGGCCGTCGACTGCAGCCAGAGCCATCAAGTGGCGAAGGAAGCCTTTATAGAGACACACGATCGAGATGAAGTTGGAGATGGCGATGGACTGGTCTGGTCTGGATGGCGGACGGCTGTCTGGGGCGGCGATTGATGCGGCTTTCGCTTTCAACTTGTGACAAATTCATAAATAATTTGACGTGATTTGATGGCTCTTCAGGCAGAACGCTAACAAAGACGTAGATCTCAGCTCAGCTGAGTTTGGTTTTTGGTTTTCGCTTTCGTGTTTTTTGGATCTTTCAGCTTTCGAGCCAACGAAAGTTACGGGGGCCGTGAACCAGAGCTTGAGATCTATTGTTCAATTGGCAAAAAAAAACCAAACTCCCACACAGCCAAGTTCGATTTTTGGTTAATGATTTCTGATGTCAGATTTTGAGATTTCTTCTGCCCGATTTCTGGGCTGCGACACATTTCTCTCGATTGGAGCCAGTTGAGGCCATTGAAGACTCTTGACACCTGCAGCTGCAGCGTCTTTAACTTTTACTTTTTCCACTTGATCTTCGCTGTTAATTGCTTCATCCCAGGCTATTTTCCCAGACTCGCGGAAGCAGTCGCAGCGCGTCGCTTATGTAAAATTAATAAGAGATAAAATAAATTTCGAATGAGCGTAAAACAAACATCAGAAACGATTTGTTTTTCTTGTTTTCTGTGGCTCTTGGCTCTTGGCTCATCGCCTTTTCCCCTTTTTTAAATCGCTTAAAGCGAAACGCGAAACGCAAAGTAAAAGTGTTTCATTTTGATTGCTTTCCCGATTTCGATATTGGCTTCTAATTGATCTCTGGCCCATTCCGGGCGCATTATGCTAATGGATAATGGGTACAAAGATCGCTCATTCTCACTCTCCAGATCTGGGCCAGGGCGCTTTCTCCGCGCTAATCGGGTGCCTTAGTGGAGCGTTTTGCAACTGCAGCGCGAAAGTAAGCCCCCCCTCCCGAAAGTAATTCCATTTAATTAACTCAACTCGCTCCGACTGACGATGGGAGGTGGTCAGTGGCCACAAAGGCCCTTCGACAGAGGTAGTGTTTAGTGGGGGGGGGGCTGTTGTTTTTATTTTTGTTTTGATTGCATCTGCCTCTGAGTATCTGTCAGTACGTGTATCTCGTTATATGCTCGTCGTCGCTCTGCGTTGATTATCTTGTAAATTTGTTGCACGTTTTGGGATGCAAATCCGCATGTCATGTCCACACGCACACTCTGACATAAAAAATTACACAAGTGATGTCATCACCTGCTGCAGATGCAGATGTCGATGGAGGGGGAGAGGGTGAGATACAGATACATAAGAGGAGTTGTGAGATCGAAGGGTTTAGGGTCGCGCTGATCATGAATTTGAAGTCTGCTTGCTTCTCAAGCTCATAAAATTACATTTTACCTTGTATACAGCTTTCTAACAAGCTATCCACTCCCTACTCTAGATAGATAGATAGATAGATAGATAGATAGATAGATAGATAGATAGATAGATAGATAGATAGATAGATAGATAGATAGATAGATAGATAGATAGATAGATAGATAGATAGATAGATAGATAGATAGATAGATAGATAGATAGATAGATAGATGGTACTATTAGGTTGCCTTTCGTCTTTCTGGGGCTTGTATCTTTGTATCTATGAGTCGCAATTGTGACCACAGAACCCCCTGACAGACCCCATCGATCGAGCCACGTCTTTGGGTATGACGAATGTATCTGTACGTGCGCGTATCTGCCAGATACTTGTGACGTAACCGCAGACGCAGCATTACTTTTACCACTCTCTTTCGCCCCGTGGCTTATTTATGGGTTTTCGTTTCGCTGGAATGTCTACCTCACACTCTCTCTCTCTCTCTCTCTCTCTCTCTTTCAATGCCGTCTTAGGGTTCGTCTTCTGCTGCTGCAGCCTCGCGATTGACCTCAATTAAGCACCTGCCACGCCCAGTTGCCGCATTTGGGCCCAGCTCCGCCCCGCCCGCCTTTCACCGCCGCCACACCGCGGTGCACCGCCCACCTGTCAGCCACTTCGATTGTTCGCGCATTGCCGCCCGACCACAAAAATGTATGCCGCAGCAGAAATTCCATTCTGGCCACTGCAGATGATACCCGGCTTTTAATCCAAGGGGGTGGAGCGGGGGCATATGGAAAATTAAAGTCGTAAACAATGGCCAGGATCATTTTGTGCGCCCCCCCGAAATATATGAATATTTGTATATATATTCGGTCAACCGGAAGTTTATGTTAGTTTGCGGAAAAGAAGACATTTATTGTGCTGTTTTTTTGTTGCGCTTTTGATTTATATTTCACCTAAATTTCAATTTCCAATTTTATAATTCCCCAGCTGAATGGTTTCCTTGTGGAAATGGTTACTTTTCAAATGGTTTAGTTTTATAAAAAGTATTTTTAATAACATCCTAAGCGGGAAAGTGACTGCGTTAGGGGATTTTAAGGGAGTAACTTTATGTATAACAACTTTGTAATATGTAAGATAGTTTTATAAAATTTTAAAAATTTAAAACAGATTGTTTTAAATACAGAAAATTTAAAATATTTGTAATAACAAACCCCCTTAACCCATCAAAGTTTATTTTGATTAAAAATTAAGCTGCTTCGAGCTGATCTTTTAGATTGTATCTTTGCAGCTATTAAAATAAAATAACCATAAATTTATGGTTATTTAAAACTGATCTTAGAGATTCTCAAATCATAAACATAATCAACAACAAGTTATAAACTATAATATAAAATATAATGCCTGGCAAACTGGTAGAATCTCCTTAGTTTCCATACAAAACGTGAGCTTTTATACACATTTAGGTATGTAGTAGTTACATCGAAATGCTTTGTTATTATTGAATTTCCATTCACTTGTATATCTTGTTCTATGAAAAAATCAAACTCACATTAATTATGTTGCATTTCATGTACGATTTATGGTTACAACATTTCTGGCCACGTGCAAACTTGGCCAACTGGAATTTGTTGTCTGACAAGTGCCCCCCGTCCGGACCCCTTGTTGTGTGGCTGTGGCTCCTGTTATTGTTACTATTATTGCTATTTTTATTGTCCTAGCTGACCTTGTGTGTGTGTGTGTGTGTGTGTGTGTGTGTGAGTGTGGCACAAAACCAATATTTGTCTACTTGGGCTCTCAGCAGCTCCGCTCACTCGCTTCATGTTGATGTTTGTGCAATATTTACATGAGTTATTTGCAAACAGAATATAAATATGCCAATATTTAAATAAAATAATAGGCTTTCTCCAAGTTCGGGGAATCCAGGGTGAAATTATATTTTCGAAAAATCGAAGCTGCCTCGAATTGAAATCCGAATGGATGTGATTAGTGGGAATGGACCACAGGCCCTCAGATTGTAATCTGTTTTGCATCCGAAAGTGAGTGCTGTAATTGCATTTCAGTCCCCGCTGTCAGCGACTCTACGATATATGGGGAATCGAGAGGGGATTGCGGCACATCCAATGGCCAATGTCAGCAGTTGTCTGTTGCCGGCGATAAGATTCAGGGACTAGGGTTTGGATCCGACTCGGCCATAGTTTTCCAAGAGCGAATAAAAAGAAAACTCTACTGTACTGTACTGTACTGCGAAAAATATGCAAATAAGCTTTATTATTTGACAGTTTCTATAAAATGCAAAAGCCACAAAAGGCACCACCACCAGCAGCAGTAGCAGCAGCAGCAGCAACAACTTCATCAACGTCAATGAAAAGTTTCCGTGCGTTGGGGAGCCGTAAGCCAGCCGCCTCCGCCTGGCCATCCGAGTGTTTTGGCCCAGATTCCAGGGACTAAAACTGAGACTGAGACTGAGGGAACCCCTCTTCCGGCACCCACATCGCTCTGGCTTATATGACAAACTGAAATGCAATAAACAAGTTGACAACTCTGACAATTTGGACAAGAGAAACATGGTAAATGCTCGGAATTATGACAAGCGACGAGGAGTCGAAGCCAGGACGCAGGGCCGGGACTAGGGCGAAGGCTGCGCGGATATGCCCGAAATGCCCGAAATGGCCGAAATGGCCGAAATGCTCGAAATGAGAGCAAACAAACATAGGACATAAAGAATAAGTAATAAGCATGCAAATGCGTCAAGAGAGCAACTCTCCAGATGCATATACAAAGACTCCGTTACTGCCGCTGCCGCTGCCATTACGGGCGGCTCCATTGGGGGTATCTCATGGATAAGAGATACTTTTTTGGCTTAATTACTTGAAGGAAGCCCTGGGAACTGGCCCTGGGCCCCTGTATCCAAGTGTCTGCCAGGGTCTCCTGGCCAACTATAAAGGGAGCCAGCCAACAGATCACACTTCTGACAACAACTGTTCCGGCTTTGCAACTTTCCAGGGCCCAGTTGTTATGCTGCCAACTAATGAAAGACACTGCTTCGACCGTCCTTGTTAATGCTGCCTCCGAGAAGGCCTTAAAAATGATGCTCTTGATTAGCAGAAGACTCGTTTCGAGGATAGCCTGATGTTTGGCTAACACTGAGACCTGCTAACTTGCTGAAAACTCTGATAAGAACCTTGAAATAGAGTAGAAGTTTTATCTATAAAAAGAATTTCCGACACTGAGACTTGATAACTTGCTGAAGTCTGTGATGAAAACCTTGAAAGAGAGTAGAATTTGTATCTATACGAAAGGATTTCCGACTTGGTCACGTTCTAGGAGTGACCCTGGATTGGAATTCCAAAAGATTCTTTCCTTTAAATGCAACAAAAATCTAATAATGAAGGCTGCCTCATAGAACAGTCGCTTATAAAACTCTTCTTCCGCTTTAAAGCCTACACCGAGTTCTCTATCATTTATAATTACTGTAAACTTTTGCCACTAACACACACACACAAGTATCCTTTCGTTGGTTGTGTTGCCACAACGCCGATAACAAAATAAATGGCTCTCATTTTTGGCCCACGACCAGACCAGAGGGGCTCGTGCATAAATTTATCTGCAACTTGGGTCAAATTGATTTGCGGAT